TTTTATAAATCTGAATTTTTTTGGCGTACGCCATTTCCGCCTTTTGGCCATACGTTCACTTTTAGTATGGTTTCCACGCAATCCTTTATAAAGAGACCCCAGAACACCCATTCAGAAGAAGACAGAACATAACAAACATAGGAGAACAGGTGCCCTGGGCCATGCAGCCACAGACCCTGCACAAAACAAGGATCATCTTCATGAAGACATCACGAGGAGGCGCAACCCTTAACAGAAAAACTAAAAACCACACAAGGGAAGATGAGGGAAAAAAAACAAAAACATCATATTATATCAACACTGTGACACACTATGGTGTTTATAAAAAAAAATCTGCATAGGGCAGATTTATTAGCCAGAGGAGTAAGTGAGTTTAGGGGGGCGTGTATCTGAAGCCATGAATGTTGTATGCACTTGTGTGAATATCTGAAGAATGAGCCCGAAGAATCCAGTCTCCAAAATTTAATCCAACCAGGAAGAATTTAGTCAACAGCTCAAGGCCGTTGTAGGGGAGAGACAAATCTGTAATCAGTTGTTTTGGGAACAGAAGAGTCAGGCAGACGATAAGAATTTTCCATCTGCTTCAATGTCTGCTGGTACATCACAAGGTGGCRAATCCAATCAGACAAATAGTGTGGACAATTCCGCCGAGCTAAGCTATCAGCTTCTCCAAGATCAATTCCATCTGGTCAGCAAAGTCCAGGGACCACAGYCGGCCCGCGACCCTCAATAGAACTGCTTGCAGACCGAGTCCAGCTCGCTCAAGGCAAAATGTCAGAGTGCTGATAGTACGGCAATCCATCATAATGGTCAGGTAGCCAGGAAATGAACAGCCACCGACACTGTTTTATAGAACACCAGGAGACCACCAAGCCAATCTGTGGAATCCAGTGATCGGAATCCAGATATACAGTATATCCAGAACAGAGAAGAACAGAGGTCCCACCTTTAACATGTCCTCCCATGGAAGAAGAAAAAACTTTGTTCCAAAAATTTGTTAAGAGACCAGCTAACCAAATCCATAAAAATAAAAATATCCATAATTTATGGTTTCGGATGAAAATGTAGAGAAGGCTCCAAGCAGCAAAGCAGGGAAGATAAGGGAGGGCAGGAGAGAAGGRAAAAGCGTCTTCCTCCTCCGAGAACGGAACAAAAATAAAAAAATAAAATATATATAAAAATCATAATCACAATAGAAAAAGAACAAAGAAAACAAATTCTTGTCTGGAACAGAAATAAATAATTAAATATAAAGCAGGTCCCTCTTTCGGAGCCAGGACCAGGGAGACCTTCTTAATTAAGTATGACAAGAAATGACCTCCACATGTGCAGTGTGAGCTGCTGGATGGCAGTCAGGAATTGTGCTCTAGGCACATTGATTCATGGTGTCATAAACTAACCAGTTTGCAGGACATACTAGTATAAAAACAGCCAAAATGAACTTGTTAAAAATGTGTTAAATCAAACATCATACCAACACTTTTCAGTTAAGTCTTGTTGGAACAAAAGTGTGCTCGCCATTTCGAACAGACGAATTCGCCCACCTGGCCATGTCTCATTCTGGTGACTGAGTGAGCAGTCGGACGGATTATTCTGCCTCATAGGTCCTGCTGTACCTTCTGTGTTGGCTTCACCCACTCATGTGGTCAGAAATGTTCACAACAACATCTGCTGGTCACACACTTTGCAGCACATATGCACAATCTGAAGCCATCTTTAAAAACTGCTAAAACAGAATCACACAACACGTCGCAGTGTGAATCATAAAGCCTCCCTGCCACTGAAGACAGCCATCTGCATGCATGAATGTGGACAGATTCAGGCATGAACACATGCCTCAGATCAACAGCTGCATTATAATGATTCACCACCGCACTGTGCACTTGTTCTTTTATCACTGCTTCATTCAGAGGCCAGTTTATTCAAACCAAACGCTCTTATGTTGAGACAGAAACCTTTGTATTTATGCATATTCCAGCTCTCCCTGCTCTAGTTCCTCCTGTGTTTCTCCCTCTCTCTGTTCCACGATGAGTTACATAAACCTCCAAGTGGTCTGAGCTGAATGGCTGGATCAAGCCAGATTCAAGAGCACAGAAGGAAGAAAAGGGCGTCATCGCCTGCCTGAACGGTTATGTAACATGAATGTAGGCAATTAAGTTTTAACAGGCTGCATTGACCTTTTGCTTTAAATCTCAATTGAAAGCTGCACATTTTGCATCTTAGTGGACCTTCAAACCAGCAGCTTCAGCTTTGGATCCACTTTATCATCAGGTTTCTCATTAAAAATCTGAAAAGTTTTGTGTTATTTAAGAGATGCCATATTTGAAAT